AATCCCTCCATTCTTGAAGTTCCCAAGGGTGAGGACATAGTTACGCGAGCCCCGCATATTGAACCGGTCCTTGTGAGCATCCGTGTTGAGGTCCTTGGCAATCGTGAAGGATGAAAACACTACATCCTTCCCTTCATGATGCTTCAGCATCGCAGTCAAGTAGGCGGCCAAGGCCTCATGGCGTGTAGTTGCCGTGGTAACTCCGGTCCAGGGTCCGCGCTGATAAGCCCCCAAAGTAGTATGAATGGAAGGGGGGTCGTTGGCTTGCCACGCAGCTGCCCGTTGTTTTTTCGTCTTCCGGAACCGCTCGCTCTCCAGCACAGCCAAACAATCGCTCATTGAAAACCGACCTTCACGTAGATACTGCTCAGCGAGAGGACCATCATCTCGACGACTAGATCCCTTAGAGGCCGAACTTTCAAGCCCTTCCTCGTGGCCCACAGACAACCCCTCTGAAACCACATCGTCCGACGAGGGCTCCACTTCATCCTTGTCCAGCCTTGCCAGGGCCTTCAACCCAGGCCCTTCGTCACTGGTGGCGATAACATCCTTGCCGAGTGCCGGAAGAAGGCCTACCCCACCAGCTAAATCAACAATGGAGCTCTTCCTGCGCACTCGCCGAAGTGGAGGGTGAAGAGGAAGCTCAACATCTGCGTCTGAACCTCCTTCTGCTGTAGGTGGGTCCTTGAACTGCCGAACATTGGTGGTGAACCACAAGTTCCCTTCATCCGTCAGGACCAGGTGCCCTCCAGGAACTGACCTCACGGGACCAAGATATACTCCTTCTACCCATTTCGGCAAGAGGTCTGTTCGGCCTCCTTGGCCATAACCCTTCCGTCTGGTAAAGACCTTCGACCCAAAGCGAGCGACCGACGGAGAAGGTTGGCCCCACACTTCAGCTTGTTGCTGGGCCGACGCCGTCTCAGCAGCATAGGGCCACAACGAAGCTACCAACTCTGTGGACAAACCGCTCAGCTCCTTGGCCTGCTGTAACAAGATGCGCATTCGCATTTTGAGAAAGCGAACAGCTCGCTCCGCGGTCCCATTTTGAGACGGATCATCTCCCTGGGTGGTCGAAAGGTCAATGTCCCTGCTGGCGGCCCACTGCTCCAAAGCCTTAGTGGTGTATTCCCGGGCACGGTCTGCATGAAGTTTGTTTACGGGCAACCCACAGGAGCGAAGTTGGATGTATGCCTCTTGCACGGCCTTCAACGTATCCGCGTTCTTCCGAGCCTTCATAGGCCTCACTATGTAGACGGAAGAAAACTCCAGGGGCTCCGCCAACTTCTTCAACGCCTCGACCTCTGCATCCTCTTTGTCCTTCGACACCTCATCACTCCCTGGGACCGGGGGATCACTCGGTTCTCCTCCTTCAGGATGGGGTAGATCTCCCTGAGGATCGCCATCTTCAAATAGCCAATCTTCACCAGGAGCTGGTCCCGCAACCGGATGGCCATGATCCACCTTCTCGGTCTTCTCATCATCAACCTTGGTGCCAGGAAGCTTTGGAAACCTGTAGCAAGCAACCAAGAGGTACTTGTGGCCTGCCGGTCCCTTGGAACGGAAAGGACCAGCTGTATCAATAGAAAGGGAGTACGCCGTTGGGTGGCTCACTCGCCTGTGTGGTTTTCCGGTTGATCTCTCCACACAAACCCGACAGTCCTTTCTATAGGGCAGGTGGTCTCGTTGTAGATGAAGTCGCCACTCATCCACATCAAAACGACATAGTCTTGGATCTCCATGGCCTCGCTCATTCCCGAGATCACTAGGAGGTGCGTCTCCTTCATGTGCCTCCTCCATAAAGCCCATCCAAGACCTTTTCATCAAAGAAGACAATAGGCTCTCCTTGCGCCTCAGCCCGACCCAGGTCCGCAACGCATGCGCCACATTCGCTACCAACTCCAATGGCCACATTGAACCAATGGGGTCCCCAGGCTCCTTCGCTCCCATCTCCGCACCTTGAAGATGCCATAGGTCCAGGTTGCCTTCCAACACAGTGGGTGCACTGTTCATCACACACTCCACCTCTCCCATCAAGGCATCCATAGAGAAAGCCCGCCACAAAGGAGAAGCAAAGAGGGGCAGACGATCATCACGGCCACCCCCATCAGGATGCTCCAACAGGAAACCGACATGGGGCTTCACCACAGATCTTCGCAACAGTCCCTGTCTCCAGGCCTTGCACCGTCCCTCTTCAGCTACATACCACAACATCATCATTCTGGTGATCAGCTGAGTCTCCTTCTGGTACTGAGGGTGGCCTTCATCCGGGCGCACGGGAGTCGGGAAGCTTTGTCTCGGCGGGCCTCCAACAATCGCTTTAAGGCGACCAGATAAGGCCGCCCAACACAGCAACTTGAAAACACCATCACGCCGAGTGAGATCCAAGGCTCGACTGTCCGTAACGTCAACATTGACCATCACCTCGTCGCCTTCCAAGGCCACGCTCCAGAACGACGATCTCATAGTCGAGGTACGCTTGGCTGCCATTGCCCTCTCATTTCCAGAGAACAGATGAACCGTCCAGGACGTGCTAGCGAACATAGCCTTGCGCTTCGCCCTTGACCATGGCATTCCCTTCAACAGCTTCCATCCATCTTGGAGACCGCACGGAACATCCTCTGGAATCCCCAACAGTGCTTCTGCGGGCACACTGGCAAAGGTAGGGCAACGATGCAGGAACCCAGCCATGGAAGTTCTTTTGCCCTCCTCACAGAAAGCACGGAGATGGCGCTGCCAGGTCCATTCCTCTCTTCCTTGTTCCCTCAACACCCGAACTTGAGCTTGAAGTCCATCAACGGTGCGCTGAAACTCCTTCACCCTGGCCTGCTCCATCTCCGCAATGAGGGTCAAGGCTTGACTCACCGGCAACACCGGACAGTTGCCTCGCAGTCGCACCTGCAAGCGTCCATGTACAGGGTGATGTACGGTGAGCCTGGACTGCGTCCACTTTATCTGACACCCCAACAGCTGGACCAGTTGTCCCATTGGAATGATCGGGGTGTTGTCGCCCCCTTCAGCAAGCAGAGTCCCCTCAGACGTCTGAGGCAACAAAGCCCCGTCCCCTGTGGCTAGGGATACGTTCACACGTCGAGCCTGGCTCAGCTCCTCCTGAGATCGCGGAGGTCTGTATGGATGGCTGGCTCCACTGTCCAACAAAGCTTCCGCCTCCTCCTCAGGGGGTGCCGCCGTCTCGGAACACAACGAAGTAGCATTGAGCCTGGCTTCATACCAGGACACCGCACTGCTGAACGAACACACTCCCTGGCCCGGCTCCTGAACTCTCAAAGTCTTCAGGCGTCGCACCTCATCCAGCTGTTGTTGGATGAGAACCAGCGGGTCCACAGGCGCCGGTGCCGAACCGCTTGACTGGGCTGCCAAAGCCTTCAACATTTGGTTTGTTTCCGATAAAATCTCGGACATCTTCGTGGCATCGATTTTGTTGCCATTACTTCCAGAGCCAGTGGCCTCAGACTGGGCCGGCGCAGGCACCGTTGTAGAAGTCGCAGAAGTAGCCTTCGCAAGGGACGGCCCAATGGGCGGGACCGCCGCCGAGGTAGTAGATGTGGTTCCGGAGCCCTTCGATGGAGGCGGAGGCGCGGGCCTTTCCGGCGACGAACCCCCTCCAGCATTGCACTCCTTGGCCCGGTGCTGCTTTGAGCCGCACAGCAAACATCTCTCACCTCTGTTCAAGCCAGTCCACGAATGAACAAAGCTGCACTGCTTCCCATTCCGGCATCCTTGGTCTGAGCTGAACCACTGGCATGGGCGCTTCGCATTCGGTGCGCCTCCCTTCTGCTTCCCCTTTCCCCCGGCACCGCTATCGCTTGTAGGCTGCACACCCTTCAGCGACGGAGGAGTCGTAGTTGTAGTAGTCGCCGGAGTCGTCGAAGCACCACCTGAGGAAGCCGTAGGGGCTGAAGACTTCTTGGTTCCTGCTCCGAGCTGCTCAAGCTCTGCTAGCAGGTGCTGCAGGAACTTCATCACATTCTGTTGACTCGGCCTCGAGTCTATCTGCAGCTCCGTCTTAGCCAAGGCCACCCGGAACTTGAAATCGCTATGTGCCTCCGCGGTGCGCCGCACAATGTTGGACAGCGACCTCACCTGCAGTGACTCATCTGGCAACGCTATGTTGAGGTCCGCGGCTCTCTGGAGTAAGCGATACCACTTTCGAATGGCCAACACCGCCTCCGCTGGTCCCGGACTGGAGTCGCTGACATCCAGCTGTCTCAGCAGCTGTGCCCTGTCCTGAGCACCACCAGGTTGAAAGACCACCATCAGCCGGAAAAGAATCTGGTGTACCCCTTGCACTCGATGGGCCACCAACTCATCTCGGACACCCTTGGGGAGTGAGTTGAGGAGAAGCGAAGCCACTTTCCGCTCCAATTTCTTGTACTTCTCCTCCCTGAGGTCGTCTGGCAGAACGGCCTTCACGCTCAACCTTTTCATTGGCGACAGCGACTGGTACTCTCCGTAAGCCCGCTGAGCTACTTGTAGAGTTCGTTGCCACCAATCTGTTGCCCCAGAGGCCAAGCTGCCCACCTGCTGCTCCGTCAAGTACAGGTAGTCCTGGAAATCCGTTGCCCCAGACTCTGGTGTGTACTCCGGAAGCTTTGACAGCTCCACCACGGCCTTGGCCTCCAAGTCCATTGTGTCCCCGCCCCTCTGCTTCAACAGCACCTGCTGCAGCTGAGACATGCCTGTGATCAACACGTCGAGAGGGCTTGGAACACTTTGCTTAGCCGCAGCCTCATCTTGGGCGGCTCCACCTTGAGTTCCCTGCGGAGGTTGAAGTGGATGTGGTGGGGCCTCAGCATTCTTGGGTTCCTGAGCGGCACCACCCAACCCAGGAGGATAGTCCCCAACATAGTCGCCGAAGGTGCCTTCGGCCTCAAGTGGCTTAGCTCGGTAAGCCCCCTCCGATGGTCCCATTCCATACAGATCACCATCACTTAGTCCCTGAAGAAGATCGCCCACTCCACGGCGAAGAAATCGGCCTCTCACGTTAGCTGCCATTGGACCGTTGCGCCCTTGACGACCCGGGCTCGATGAAGCTCCACGGCCCCGTAGCTCCGGACTGGCACTCCTTGAAGCTCGATCCAGCCATGCGCGTCGACCCTCCGCGCCACGGCCTTGGGGACCTCCTTCGGTTCCTGGAAGTACACGCACTCCACCGGGATCACCTGGCAACTCAGGACGCGGACCACCCGGGACATACTGCTCAAACACTGCGGGACCACTATACGGCTTCTCCTCAAAGCTAAAGGGGACCCGATCACCTCCAAGTACTCCACGACTTGTAAGAGGAGCCCGACCATCATCAGGTATAGAGGCACTGATCGTGCGACCCTCTCCTTGTTGCATAGCTGCCGCATAAGCCCGATCACCTCCAAGTACTCCACGACTTGTAAGAGGAGCCCGACCATCATCGGGTATACCTTGACTGGAATAAGCCCGATCACCTCCAAGTACTCCGTGACTTGCAAGAGGAGCCCGAGCATCTGCAGGTACACTTTGGTTGGAATAAGCCTGATCACCTCCAAGTACTCCATGACTTGTAAGCGAAGCCCGAGCATCTGCAGGTACACCTTGGTTGGAATAAGCCCGATCACCCTCAAGTACTCCAGGACTTGTAAGCGAAGCCCGAGCATCCCTAGGTACACCTTGAGTGGAATAAGCCCGATCACCTCCAAGTACTCCATGACTTGTAAGAGGAGCCCGAGCATCTGCAGGTAGCGCTGCACTGGAATAGGCCCGATCATCTTCAAGCACTCCGTGACTTAACAGCTGAGGAGCGCGATCTGGGAGACCTAAAGGCGGATTGACCTGCTGCCGCAGGCGTCTGTTCTCTTCCTTCAGCTCCTCCAAGCCTTGCTGCTGCACACGAAGAGCTTCCTGAACCTGACGACGAACCTCGGACTCGACCAGCTCACGAGGAATCGAGTCGGACGACTGCTCATCTGTCGCCGGTCCAGCTCGATGAGGCCCATGCAGAAGGGGAGCCTGAGAGGGCCACGCTTCCATCGCCCTTCTCGCACTCCTTCCAAACAACGGCGGGTTTGCCTCTAGGGTTGCCGCAGTCAACTCAGCTCCAACACCCGTAGACTCGTTGTGCGGGGTAGTAGGTGACGAGTGTTGAACTTGATGCTGCATCATGAACCCAGAGCTAGCGCCAGACGGGGCCACAAACTGCTGTCTCGTCATCGTAGTAAGCGTCTCCATTGCAGTATGCTGCTTGAAGAACTCACCCAGACGGTGCATCCATCGTAGAGCTGCCGGCACCTCGCCCATATTGCGTGTTGCGCCCGGACCTGACCCATCGGTCTGCGGTTGGGCTGGCCAGGCCTCTGTCAAAAAGGCCGTTGCTTCCCTGTTGCCGTGGAGGACGGTTGGGGAATAAGGCAGAGACTCTATCCCCGCCGGTGAATTTGACGCCCTCGTAGACCTCCCCACCCCATTAGGCAGCTGAGGCCTCGCATAGTCGGGGCCATTCACTTCCCCTTCCAGCCTGGCTTGTTGCTGTTCAGCCCGATGCGAAGCAGCATCCGTAGATTGGGCAATCATAACCTGTTGACGTTCAAGTCCACTGGGGTGCTGATCAGAAGCCATGGCAGGAAGCAGTTCACGTCTTCTCCGAAGTAAATCTATGGTTGCAACCCCTTCAAAGGAGAACAATCACACAAGAGGATTCCGAAGGGAAGGGTCCTAAGGGGAACCTCGCAAACCGAGACGCCCCAAACCTCACCTCCGAAAAACCAAAACAACCCCAACCTACCAACGGCCCAAACAGGCCTCACTTCAGTCGGGATTTTCCACATGCTTGAGCCACGCCGGTGCGTGTCATCCTTGTGCAAGGGGCTTCTGTGCATACCCTTGGCTAAACATGTTAGGGAGTGCATCAAGGCGCAGCTTACAGGCGCCATCACACCAACAACAGATATGCATGGTTACATATGTATATATATATATATTATATGTATATGGGGCCCCCCGTGTACCTACCCTTTTCTTGTGTTCCTGATCAAGCACGGAACTCAGCACATCGATTCGGCACTAGCCATCCAGGGTCCTGGTTTGCATATGTGCTCCCAGCAGTCCTACCTGTGATTCGTGCTCTCCGTCACAGTCCCAAAGCCGCGAGATCGCGCTTTCACACACAGTTCCCAAAAGCCGCGAGATCGTGCTGTCACACACAGTTCCCTAAGCCCAGAACCAGGAACCCAATGTTTTGGACTAATAACATTAGTACCTCTCAGAACTTTCGCATGCCAGAATGCTCAAAACCATGAGAGGCCCCAATGTTTTGGGCTCCTATACGTCCAAAACATTGGGACCTCTCAGCACTTTCGCACGCCAGGACGTTTAAAACTATGAGAGGTCCCAATGTTTTGTGCTCTCAGCACTTGTACTCTCCCCACAGTCCCAAAACCATGAGGGTCCCAATGTTTTAGATTTCAGATGTGGGAAGCCAAAGTCTCAAAGCTGCAGTTTCAAGCTCGAGCCGCACGGATTAGATTCGACACGTAGATTAGGCAAGCATGTCCACAGCACCGGCGTCTCGGGACTGAAATTCTGCAGAGGAACCGGCGGCCTTGTGAGCCGACGCGCGGTTCGGCACTGCTGCCGCCGCTGGCGCCCCTGCGTCAGTGTGTTGTTGTGATGTGTGAGCTTCTTGGCGTTGTCCTCGTAGACTCTGAAAGTCGTGGCCGCCTACAGTGTCCTCTGGCGCGCCGCGTGCACCGCCTCGTGCCGGCGGGCATGGTGCGCTCCTGATACTGTTGTCTCACGATAGTCCCCACGCTTGCCCTCTTCTTGGCCACCTCCCGGGCCAGGTCCGTCTTGAGCGTCTGGCTGGCCCTGTCTATCACTGTGGCGTTCCGGTCCTTCGGCCGTTTCTCCGCCGGGCAGCGCCGCCTCGAGCCCCCGAAACTCGTTTCCCCCTGAGCTTGGCTTGCATTCAGACAACCGAGCTCTGAAGCTCGTTGGACTGCATGTGAGCTACAGACCAGCGTTGCATGGCACATGACCAGTCAAAACAGTTACAAACGGATGAAGTTGCGTCGGGTATCCACACCTGGTTGCAGTTTTTCCCTATTGCCGTCTTCTTCGCTGTGGACTTGTGGCTGAAGATATTGTCAGGTAGAGATAAATGAGATAAGAATGGGAGCATCTATGTGAGAGAATCTTTCACGAGAATTGATGCTGCCAGCTCTCAAAGGCAAACCAAATGAACCGCTCCTGAAGTAGCTTTCCACTTGTGTGACAGTTCAGCCTGCTGCAGGGAGGCCGGAGCAATCAAGATTTTTGGTCAGTTGCGGTCTGTGAGCTTGGTTTTCGCAGCGTGTCCGTCAAACGACCCCGCTGTCCTTACACGCAACCGAGGCTTGCATTTGTCGATTTGGCCTCAACCTTCATTCTTTCTCGCATTGTTCCAGTTGTTCGTCAACATGGCTCAAGACTCAAGATCCCGTGCTCGAAGCGACCCCAGCTCCAACCAATGGATTTCTCCAGCAGAGGGGCCAGGGAAGGCAGACGCCATATTCGTCTAGAATCTAGAATCTAGAAGGCTAACAACTTCCGAATCTGTGAGTGCTGTCGAGGAGTCAGCGCGGCAAAGCTTGGAACTGGACCGGGTGCAGCTCCAAGTGCGCATCTGTTAAGGACTGTTCTTCTGTTGTCAAGGCTGTCGCAGCTCTCTGATTGGTGTGCACGAATGTCATCGGCGGCATGTTGGCAGAAAAGCCGTGCTCCCCACTGCTCGAGAATGCCCGTCATGCCGCCAGAGGGCTTTGCGATGCAGGGCAAGTTGCACATATCTGGCTGAGCAGGTACAAGAGCAGTGCTTGCCCCCACTGCGTCCACAAAGTGGCTCAGGCAGGATGCCTGCCGTGACATACCCCGCCAAAATTTGTGTTGCGACTGCTGCAGGATCTTGGAGGCCTGCTGACGTGAACTGTCACGCTCATGGCCGTGGGCGGCTTGGACATTCTGACGGTATGTCGGCCGCAAGCACGGAAAGTTCGGCTTGGGAACAACATGTGCTGCATGGACGAGGTTGTACCACGCTTCGATCCTGGCGAGGAGTTCCATTTCTGCTGCCTAAGTGTCACTATCAGGCTGAAGGCTGTGCGATTCGTACTCGTACGCGTACCGTCCAGTTATATGACGACAAGCGACCTGCAGCAAGTAGCATGCCATCAGGAGTAGCATTGTGGGAGAGACGACGTAATATGCAGCCTAGGCATAATCTTCAAGACTTGCTTGGTCACTGTCTCTCGAACCTGATATTGCGTGAGAGACTGCGTAACTGCTTCCAGCTGATTTGGCTCGCAAGAGCTCGGTACCTTGACGGTCAGAGACTTGTGGGCTTTTGGCTAGAACAGCTGAAGTGCACCTCGTTACTAGCCCGTCAGAAGCAGTGATAAACGGACAGATGCTCAGTGAGAGCCGCGGCATCGCAAATGAAGTGCAAACCTCCCCAATTGAGTTGCTGAGTTGCCCATGCCGTCCCTTTGCCCTCAAGGCTGTGTGTCTGCATGTTGCATGTGTGTGTAGCTGGGAACCGGCGACCGGCCATGGAAACACGCAAGCTGCAGCCCGCGGCTCATGTGCTTATCTCTGCACTTTGAGGCGGAAGTTGTCACTCACTGCTCGCATGTCTGCATCGTCGAATCTTTGCAACATGAGATCAGAGTTGCTGCCTTGTCCTACATTGCGGCAAGCGCTTGCCGATCCAACTTGACAGGTTTGACTATGGTCCTGTTTCCGCTTCTCACAGCTTTTGCTGCCAAGGACGGTGCAAAAGGTCAGCGAGACTCAGCACCAGGCGTTGTTGGAGGAGCGGCGGAGGTGCCAAAGCACGGCTGTTGGTGTCGAAACTTAGTCCATGATCGGTGCTCGTCACTGTCTCGATTTCTTCGCCTTCTCTCAATAGTTTGTTCTCTTATGGCACTCGTGCACTATGAGCTATGAGATCTCTAGGCTTTCTCTTTCAGGCGCTTTCGACACACACAATTAAGGCCTTTAGGATTCCTGAGGAGAGCAAGTCCTTTGGGTTCTGTCGCCCGCAGATGGGCCATCGAGGGTAGTGCGCAGTGCCTGGAATCTTTGCATGATGTCATGCTCCAAATCACGCAAGCTAGCTCCTTCGGAACTTGTGCAGGAGTTGCTGTTTTCAGATTTGGCTTTGGCCTAAAGGCGAGTTTGGGCGCCCCTTACTCTTGATACATCAGTCCCGATTAATTCGGTCGTGTCGATCAGGGAGAAAGATGGCCCGCAGTTTGCGCGGTTTGTTGAAATGTCGTGGAGCGCCGAAGGGTGTACGATCATGATCTGTGATGATCTGTGCGTGTAGTCGAGCTTGCCTCGTTCGTCGCTCATTTCGTGAAGGGGCCCCCTTCCCAAAGTTGACCCGTGCTGCCGTAGCTTTGCTCAGCATAGCGGGCGTTGCAATCCAAGAATCACGACAGCCACTGGCCTCTTTTCACAGAAACCGCAGCTCTTTCATTACGTCCCGCAAGACTGGCACTCAAGCTGCCGGTTCTGAGATATTCTTCGATGATTGTGTTGTCTCTCACAGAAAAATTAGCGTCGCGCAGCGACACAAGAAGCCAAGGATGAAAGACACGCTCGGCGATACTCAGGATTGCATGGATCTCTTACATCATCGAGTTGCCTAGAAACCTGTGCCTTCATTCATTCTAGAACATCATACAAGACAACAGGTCGTGGGTACCGACACTCCAAACACACCTAAGCACTGCCTGTGGTTCTCAAGTTTTCTATGTGCTGGCTTCTCCTGAGCGGAAGGTTTAGCCGAAATGCCGAAAACCTTTGTCCTCCACCTAATGGGACAGCGAAATGATTGAGAACCTTTCCACTCGCTGGCAGCGTAAGAACCGTAGTTGAGCGGGTGCCCATCTCAGCCCAACAGGTCACATGTACTGGGCGAAGAGCTCCGACGGGTCAGGGCTGAAGCTGTCTGGAGTCTCGGAGCGGGTGTGTGGCATGGGGTCATTTTTGGGACTCTTGGGATGCTCCTAGAAGGGCTCAAGTTCCAAAGTCTCGAGAGTCTGCAGTTGAACTACACTGCAGCGATTCGCCGTGTCACTGCACCAGGGTTGGAGAGGGCTCAAACTACAGTACTTGGCTGGTCCAGCTTGTGGCGCAGAGAGGCTGCTTCGCAGGAGAAAGGTTCCATAGAGACTTCCTGGCGTCGAATCGAAACGAGGGGCATGCCCACATGTTGTGGCCGAGGTTCTGAACGCTACAATCCAAGCCAGCGAGCTTCGCCGAGCTCGCTTCTCGGTGCTTAGCAAGTGCTAGTTCGGAGCATTGGGTAGGCAACCCTGCTGCGAGCATGGCGAGTCGGCAGAGGGTCAAGAGACAGATTCCGCACTCAAGAGCTCTCTGGCTGGTTCCCATCGGGCCATCGAGCTGACGTCTGAGCTTGCGCTCGAATGACGCCCCGTGTCAAGTTTCGGATAGTCTCGCTCGCAAACTCCCAGCTGCTGGCCGATGAGACTCCGAAACTCCATACGGACATGAGAGGACCACCCGCACGGCTCTAGACCCTGTTGATTCCTGCAAGTGCTTGTCACCGGAAGAATGCAATGAAAGCAACACAAAGGCAGTGGCGGAGGCGGAAGAGGAGGCGAATTGTTGCGTGCAGTGCATATTCGATGCTGAGTGCGAGTGCTAGATTCATGCACAGGCCGCAAAAACAGCATCGGTCCAAGCCGTCCTCGAAGCCGAGGCCGGTTTGCGTACGAGCCATTTAGTCAACCTATGCCTCAGCCGCAGGGCTACAAGAAGGAGCTGGAGAAAGCCAACGGCACGAGAGCTGCTGTCGAGAAGGCTCTGTTCCATGGCTCGTTTTTACTGCCTTTCTTTGCATGCTTGGGCGGAGGAGCTGGGAGATGTGCAGCGAGCGTTGTGCATGGCAACACGCAAGCTGCAGCCCGCGGCTCATGTGCTTATCTCTGCACTTTGAGGCGGAAGTTGTCACTCACTGCTCGCATGCCTGCATCGTCGAATCTTTGCAACATGAGATCAGGGTATGTCAGAGTTGCTGCCTTGTCCTACATTGCGGCAAGCGCTTGCCGATCCAACTTGACAGCTTTGACTATGGTCCTGTTTCCGCTTCTCACAGCTTTTGCTGCCAAGGACGGTGCAAAAGGTCAGCGAGACTCAGCACCAGGCGTTGTTGGAGGAGCGGCGGAGGTGCCAAAGCACGGCTGTTGGTGTCGAAACTTAGTCCATGATCGGTGCTCGTCACTGTCTCGATTTCTTCGCCTTCTCTCAATAGTTTGTTCTCTTATGGCACTCGTGCACTATGAGCTATGAGATCTCTAGGCTTTCTCTTTCAGGCGCTTTCGACACACACAATTAAGGCCTTTAGGATTCCTGAGGAGAGCAAGTCCTTTGGGTTCTGTCGCCCGCAGATGGGCCATCGAGGGTAGTGAGCAGTGCCTGGAATCTTTGCATGATGTCATGCTCCAAATCACGCAAGCTAGCTCCTTCGGAACTTGTGCAGGAGTTGCTGTTTTCAGATTTGGCTTTGGCCTAAAGGCGAGTTTGGGCGCCCCTTACTCTTGATACATCAGTCCCGATTAATTCGGTCGTGTCGATCAGGGAGAAAGATGGCCCGCAGTTTGCGCGGTTTGTTGAAATGTCGTGGAGCGCCGAAGGGTGTACGATCATGATCTGTGATGATCTGTGCGTGTAGTCGAGCTTGCCTCGTTCGTCGCTCATTTCGTGAAGGGGCCCCCTTCCCAAAGTTGACCCGTGCTGCCGTAGCTTTGCTCAGCATAGCGGGCATTGCAATCCAAGAATCACGACAGCCACTGGCCTCTTTTCACAGAAACCGCAGCTCTTTCATTACGTCCCGCAAGACTGGCACTCAAGCTGCCGGTTCTGAGATATTCTTCGATGATTGTGTTGGCCCTCACCGAAAAATTAGCGTCGCGCAGCGACACAAGAAGCCAAGGATGAAAGACACGCTCGGCGATACTCAGGATTGCATGGAGCTCTTACATCATCGAGTTGCCTAGAAACCTGTGCCTTCATTCATTCTAGAACATCATAGAAGACAACAGGTCGTGGGTACCGACACTCCAAACACACCTAAGCACTGCCTGTGGTTCTCAAGTTTTCTATGTGCTGGCTTCTCCTGAGCGGAAGGTTTAGCCGAAATGCCGAAAACCTTTCTCCTCCACCTAATAGGACAGCGAAATGATTGAGAACCTTTCCACTCGCTGGCAGCGTAAGAACCGTAGTTGAGCGGGTGCCCATCTCAGCCCAACAGGTCACATGTACTGGGCGAAGAGCTCCGACGGGTCAGGGCTGAAGCTGTCTGGAGTCTCGGAGAGGGGGTTTGTGGCATGGGGTCATTTTTGGGACTCTTGGGATGCTCCTAGAAGGGCTCAAGTTCCAAAGTCTCGAGAGTCTGCAGTTGAACTACACTGCAGCGATTCGCCGTGTCACTGCACCAGGGTTGGAGAGGGCTCAAACTACAGTACTTGGCTGGTCCAGCTTGTGGTGCAGAGAGGCTGCTTCGCAGGAGAAAGGTTCCATAGAGACTTCCTGGCGTCGAATCGAAACGAGGGGCATGCGCACATGTGGCCGAGGTTCTAAACGCGACAATCGGCGAAGAGGCCCTCTCCACAGGCCACTTGCAGGGCCGCTAGAAAAGCCAGAACAGACTGCACGGACGTTGCCGAATCTTCTTGCTGTTTTGAGGGGTCCTTGCATCGAAAAAGGACGTCGGCATCTGAATGAGCTGAGCCTTCTGCGAAGCCCCCCTCTCTGTGCTCAAAGCTGTGACAGAGGTCGAAACTCGAAGAGACGATGTGTCAGAGACCACTGCATCCTCATCCTCTGCAGCCTCAGCCTCAACCTCATGGAACTGCCTGGACTCAAGACTGCTGCCCTGGACCTGAGGAAGAAGTGGTGGCTATCTTCCGCGAGCATGTCGCCGATACGCAGGAGACGGTGCTCATCCGACTCTATGACCGTGGAAACTGCTCGCGCACCAGGGTCTTTTGGAAGATGAGATGGCCAACGTGAATACCGTCTTGGATGTCCAGGAGGAGGCAAGTCTGCAATCTGCCGACGCAGCTCAAGCAGCATGTAGGACAGCAGCCAGACTCGGAGGTTTTCGAACCTGCAAAATGAAAGCATGACAGTAGTGCAGCAACAGAGAGCTGCTGTCGTGACAAGCGGTCAAAGCGACAGACGCTTGCAGTCAGAAGACATGGAGAAGGTCAGTTCCCAGCAACTCTGCTAACAGCTAGGAGAACAGAGAAAGTGCTATGTTGCCAGAGACCATCTGCTGTTTGCACCTCTGGCCCAGATGAATCGGAAGGTCTGCCATAAGGCCATAGAAACTAAACGAAGCCAAAAGGATCCACTGAAGCATGCACTCAACACATAAAGATTCACGGCTGTGCGACAAAAGCTGTGGACAACGGGGAAGGCGCTTGCATGTTTGTGGATGGAAGGATAGTCGGATAGTTCTGGCACCCAAGCCTGGACACAACCGCGCCAGGGCGGAACGAGTTACTGTTGAAACAGTGGAAGTTTTGGCAGTGCGACCCCACGGTGAGCACCAAGATTTTTGCCAACCTTGTAGCATTTACAGTAGTTAGAAAACAACATATGCCTTATGGAGTATTTTTCCGATATGGCAGACCCTCGAAGCATATCTTTTGCTGAGGTCAACGTGTGCATCATTTTGTTGGAAGCGCAAACATCATCAACATCATAGTGGAGCATGAGACACTTACCGAAGCCGGCGTGACATGCTGAGAAGCCTACACTAGAAAAATCGCAATTTCAACTTTCAACGGCTGAAAGGACTGGACCAACAAGCAGTGGTCGCGGAGGTTCAACTAGCCGAAAAAATCAGGACGACGGTTATGGTTATGGCGGGTATGGCAACAGACAGCGCCATATATACGCGGGCACACTGTTGAGACCGCAGTCAGAAGTGACCACCCAGCTTTCCGTTTGCACCTGTGCGATGGGAGGTGTTTGCCAATTCGTCTGTACAGCGATTCAAAACGTGCAGGTGCTTCACGCCTTGCGAAGGGTTGCCGAGGACAGGACGGATCTACGCACCAGGCCATGTTACAATCAGATCTGGCATCTGAAGCACGCAATTAGGCCGTTAGGCCCTCAAAAAAAAGTCAGATCGCAGCACAGGCTGAAGATCCAGCAGTCGGAGACTGACCAAGTTCGCCGCGATCTTGAGAATGCAGAGGCTCGAGCCTTTCCAGCTAGTGAGCTGAAGCCCTGCAAGCAGTTCTTACCCCGACAATCCAGATCCCGGGTGCGAATGAGGACTTACGTAGTTATGTAGCGCTTGCGTCCCGTGCGGTGCCATGTCTAACTGGATGGTGTTCCAATGGTGTTTCCTATTGTTGCAGCGATCGTACAGCTGAGACCGACACATGTCCGATTTGTGTTTGTAGAAATCAGCGGCCTGCTTCGGAGCCTTTGTGCAGAGGCGACAAACGATGAGCTCACGACCAAGTTGCAGTGCTCCGAGGAGGCTTTGCAGGAGAGCCGGAGCTCCCTCAAACAATCCGAAAGATGGAGCGTCGAACGGCATACCACTCGCCTCCTGTCACGGATACCACACAGGACGCCAGGGCGAAGGCCTTGCAGCATGCCTGTGCAGAAGAACAGGCATGCCACAGTTGGGAGAACCTTGTGTGTTCAAGTTCGGTGTGATGTTGCTGACTAGTCAATCTTCTGCAGGTGGTTGCAGCAGCACAGGCCTTGCAGGCAAAGCGGCATGTCATGCAAACCCGGTGCATCATGTCGAGTATGTAGTGCTTGCAAGGATGCGAACGCGGCATTGCAGTCCCAGGTGGAAGAGCTTCAGACGCAGGCCCTTCTTGTGTACCGCCATGCGCGCTGTCATCCCGGAATTCTGCGCGATCAGGTAGAAGTAACGCAGAAGAAAACGGCCGTATCGCAGACCCTCGAGGCGGCTGCTGGTATACTTTTTATATGTACATATACATAAGCAGTTTAAAGAAACAAATGTAGAGAGAGAGAGAGAGAGAGAGAGAAAGCGAGAGATGATAGATATGTATATGTGGTTGCAGTGACCACGAAGTATTTTATGTAACTGGCTGGCCAAAGGCCGAAATTGCCGATGCCGCCGCACAGCTCGTCGCTGCCCGAAAGAAGGCAGCGGAAGCAGTCAGCACAGAAATGGCCGCGGTAAGTTGGGTTTGGCCTGCAGGTCGAGAGTCATGAGAGCGAGCTCCGGGAATCTGTGTTCGCAGCGGAGAAACTGCAGGCAACTTGCTCCAGACTTCTGCACAAGTAGTTTTCGCATTTTTTTGGTTTGCTGGAGCTGAAGAATGGGCAGCATGTAAGTCCGAGCTTCCCAGAACTTGCATGGGGCAGAAGCCTGCTGTCAGTCTGTCCAGTGCCATGCACAATGCCATCATGAGTGTCGCCTCGTGGCCTAGTGTCCGGCTGGAGGCGACAAACGACGAGCTCACGACCAAGTTGCAGTGTTCGGAGCAGGCTTTGCAGGAGTAGTTCCCAGATGTCGTTGGAGTTCTAAGGAAACAGTTTTCCAATAACGCAGCTAACCCCTGGAGGGCCTTTCTTCCTGTTGTCGTCTTGGCTTGGCTGTTCACCAAAACTGAGAGTTTGGAGGATTCAGCCCAACGAATCATCAAATTTCCAGGATGTGGTCCCACGAGCTTTGGCCTTCCTTTCCGGACTCATCTTATCCGAAAAACCATTTCGACCCAGACCCCGGGCATGAGCAACTTAGGGCCAATAATGCAAAGTTCCGGGCAGCTCCAGGCTACAAGGCACTGCAAGGCAAAGCACTGTAAGGCTTTGCTACTGTGGTTACTGTTGCTGTCGCTTCTGTCAGTGCTATCACTACCGTTACTGCGTTCTCGTAATGCAGCGGCTTTTGTTGGGTAGTTGTTCTGGGATTCCATGCGCAAGTTGGGAGGACTTGGAGGCGCAGAAGCAAGCCGCCGCGGCAGAGCTAGAGGACGGAGAATGCAGCATGCGAGAGCTCATGCAAAAAGACAAAAACACCCGGCTTTGGAATTTCAGCTCTGTGTGCAGATCTGCTCCACGGCCGTTGCACGTGCCGAAGCGGACAAGATGGAACTGCAGGCCAAGGCGAGGGAACAAAAAGCAAAGTGTCTGTCATGGATATCTGAAGCTGAGCCAGTCCAAGACAATTGCGGGCAGAATTGAAGTTGTCTTTTGCCTCGCCTATGATCGGGAATGCCAAGTCCGGACATTCTTGGTGGTAAAAACCCGCACGCTTGCTGCTCGCACGACCTGCGATGCAGCAGGAAGTGAAGTTGTTGAAATACGATGTTTACCATGCAAAACAGTGTGTTGCCTCATGATGTAGGAGGAGCCTGACTCGCCAATGATTTGTCTCAGACCAGCACAGCCCGCACAGCCACCTGACAACACCGAGAAGCCCAACACAAGAAAGAAGAGATAAAGTGTGAGGCGGGCACTATGGCGGGAGTTGTGAAGCAGGGCAACAACAGTTGGAAAGTAAGATTCAGGCAATGGTGTCCTTGAAAGGTCGAGGATAGCCCGCCGCGCAAATGACCGATCTACGAAGTCCGGAAATCATTCACGAAAAGGTGCTCTACACAAGTTAGGGTGAATCGTTGTTCCTGTGCAGCTTCGTGAATCGCAAAGTACACTGCGAATGTAGCAACTGCACACTACAGCCCCTGTCTCGTACTGCCGAACACCATCGCGGGCGTTCTGCTGTTGGGTTGCACAGCTGGGTTGATGTCCGTTGTGGCAGGAACAAACAGCCAAGACAAAACCAGACAGGCTACAAATACCACAGTCGAAGGTCATCTAAGCAGGCCCGCATTAAGCTTAACGACGTCGTTGGGACGTTCGCAGTGGTATAGGCATGCTTGGGAGATCTCATATCGCCGAGCTGTTTTGGAATCTGCATAATCTGCTAAGCACTGTGGGCAACCACGACGTCTGTGCTCAGTTCGCTGAGCTTCGCGGTGAGCTTTTGGCGGCCGTGCAGGAGAAGGACAGGTCTTTGTCTCGTGGTATTTGCACATGCGTTCCAAGCGTTCTCGAGCTGCAGGAGGCAAGCAAGGAGTTGATTGAAACGCTTCGTGGAGAAGTAGTAGCTCTTCGGCATATCAGCGGCACTTGAAGCTTTCAGCTGAACTCTCGGCAGAGCTTGTCCGCGCGCCAAGCCGATGCCTCTCACACCAACATCTCAGCCTCGGGAGAATACATGGTGTCCTCCTGCCATCTCAGGCTTCCGCAAGTGTGCTTCCAGAGGCCCAGCTGCGGCCGTCAAAATGCGGTGATGCAGTGCCTGTCTTCCAAACCCGTCATTGAAGCATTGTGTTTGCTAACGGGTGTGGAACCGGCACTCCAATCCTGCCTCGTTTTGGCCTTGCAAAGCCTGATGTCAGGAACCTTCTGCGATCAAACGAGAAGCTGCTTCGATACCCAGGATGAAGCCCTTCCCAAACCCCGTGATTCGAGCATATTGCTTCCAAGTGAGGGTTTGCCCAACCTTGTCTGTTCAAGTTCGGTGTGATGTTGCTGACTAGTCAATCTTCTGCAGGTGGTTGCAGCAGCACAGGCCTTGCAGGCAAAGCCGCATGTCATACAAACCCGGTGCATCATGTCGAGTATGTAGTGCTTGCAAGGATGCGAACGCGGCATTGCAGTCCCAGGTGGAAGAGCTTCAGACGCAGGCCCTTCTTGTGTACCGCCATGCGCGCTGTCATCCCGGAATTCTGCGCGATCAGGTAGAAGTAAAGCAGCAAAAGCTCACGGCCGTATCGCAAACCCTCGAGGCAGCTGCTGGTATACCTTTTATATGTACAAATACATAAACAGCTTAAAGAAACAAATGTAGAGAGAGAGAGAGAGAGAGAGAGAGAGAGAGAGAAAGAGAGAGATGGATAGATATGTATATGTGGTTACAGTGACCACGAAGTATTTTATGTAATTGGCTGGCGAAAGGCCGAAACTGCCGATGCCGCCGCACAGCTCGTCGCTGCCCGAAAGAAGGCAGCGGAAGCAGTCAGCGCAGAAATGGCCGCGTAAGTTGGGTTTGGCCTGCAGGTCGAGAGTCATGAGAGTGAGCTCCGGGAATCTGTGCTCGCAGCGGAGAAACTGCAGGCAACTTGCTCCAGACTTCCGCACAAGTAGTTTTCACATTTTTCTGGTTTGCTGGAGCTGAAGAATGGGCAGCATTTAAGTCCGAGCTTCTCAGAACTTGCATGGGGCAGAAGCCTGCTGTCAGTCTGTCCAGTGCCATGCACAATGCCATCATGAGTGTCGCCTCGTGGCCTAGTGTCCGGCTGGAGGCGACAAACGACGAGCTCACGACCAAGTTGCAGTGTTCGGAGCAGGCTTTGCAGGAGTAGTTCCCAGATGTCGTTGGAGTTCTAAGGAAACAGTTTTCCAATAACGCAGCTAACCCCTGGAGGGCCTTTCTTCCTGTTGTCGTCTTGGCTTGGCTGTTCACCAAAACTGAGAGTTTGGAGGATTCAGCCCAACGAATCATCAAATTCCAGGATGTGGTCCCACGAGCTTTGGCCTTCCTTTCCGGACTCATCTTATCCGAAAAGCCATTGCGACCCAGACCCCGGGCATGAGCAACTTAGGGCCAATAATGCAAAGTTCCGGGCAGCTCCAGGCTACAAGGCACTGCAAGGCAAAGCACTGTAAGGCTTTGCTACTGTGGTTACTGTTGCTGTCGCTTCTGTCAGTGCTATCACTACCGTTACTGCGTTCTGGTAATGCAGCGGTTTTTGTTGGGTAGTTGTTCTGGGATTCCATGCGCAAGTTGGGAGGACTTGGAGGCACAGAAGAGCTAGAGGACGGAGAATGCAGCATGCGAGAGCTCATGCAAAAAGACAAAACACCTGGCTTTGGAATTTCAGCTCTGTGTGCAGATCTGCTCCACGGCCGTTGCACGTGCCGAAGCGGACAAGATGGAACTGCAGGCCAAGGCGAGGTTACAAAAAGCAAAGTGTCTGCCATGGATATCTGAAGCTGAGCCAGTCCAAGACAGTTGCGGTGTAACGCACGTGTGCGTGTAGGAACAAGCGTCAGCGATCGAACCGCAGCTTGCCGGCTCGATCGCCTTCTTTTGAGTTTCCCCTCGTCCTTTCGCCTCGCCGTGTTCTGGTCATGTCCTCGACTGGAGCAGCCGCCGACGCCGCCCATGCCGCCCGGGCGGCCGCAGCGGCCACTGAGGCCGAGGTTCTCGACTGGGTTCCGCCCTCGTCTGTGGGCGCCCAGTCGGGCGACGAGGACGATGAAGTGATCGCCGGCTTCGCTTCGCCCATCTTGGGCGCTCCTCCCGCCACTGGCGGGGTGGCAGTGGGCACTCAGACTGAGGCCCATGTGTTCATCGCCACCTTTGTGGCTGGGGCCACCAACGGGGAGCTCACCGCGGCCGTCAACGCCTTGTCGGTGGACGATTTGGCTCGCCTGATGGCAGCCTGCTCGGCGGCGCAGCCCGCAGCCGGGCCTCCGACGCCTCCTATTTCGTCGCCGCCGTCTTCATCAGGGACTACGCCACCCGCGAGCACGGCCTTGCCGGTCCCTTCGGCGGTTTCGGGGGCGCCGCCGGGCGCAATGCCCGCCAAGGCTTGGCTGGCCCCATCTGGGGCATCGTCGTCTGTGGTGCCCGGGCCCTCCGCCGAGGAAGCCCGCAAGTACTGGCTGGATCAGGAGGCGGCGATCCACCACGATGACGCCCCGCCGGGCATAGGGCACATCGACGCCTCCGCCTGCCCGTCCCGGAGGATGACGACGAGGGCTTGGAGGGCGACACTGGGCTGGACGCCTACCTCGCCGACTTCGACGGCGCCGTGCCCAAGGCCCCGCCAGACACGACTTTTCCCATGCCCTTCGGGGCATATTGCCCGGCGGGCGCCACGGTCCGGTGGCCCAAGCAGCAGGGGATGGCGCCGCCCCCTCCGCCTCCATCGACTCCGGCCCCGGCTACCTCGTCTTCTTCGGGGGGACACGCCGGCCAAGCCCAAGGGCGCCAAGCCGCAGATGAAGTCGCCACCGCCGGAGCTGGTGGCTCAAGGGGCGGCTCCCAAGGTCAAGGCCTTCGCCAAAGCCCCGCCACCTCCGCTGGTGTTGGAGCCGGCCGCGGGGGCGGGCGACCAGGCGACGCCCAAGCGCCAACCCTCTGGGATGTTCGGCTCGGCCCCGCCCTCAGCGGGCGTGACGGTCGTCAAGAATGCGCCCGCCCCGCCGCCTGCGGCCGCGCCCGCCGTGGACGAGATCACGCCCTACGAGCGGCAGCGTCGGGCGATTGATCAAGAGAACGCCCTCCGGCATGGGGCCCATGGGCTTTGACGTCACCTACGACGAGATGCTGCAGCTCCGCATCCAACGTGAGCTGCGGGAGATGTCGCTGCAGCCGCCCCCGCCCCGCCGTCCCGCAGCGGGGGGCGGATCCGGAGCGGGATCACCCGCCCAGTGCCTCAGCGGGCGCCCCAGCCCCTCCTTCGAGGGCTTCTTCATCGTTTCCGGCGGCGGCTCCGTCGGGGGCGTCCTCGGCATGCGCGGGCGTCCCGCCCAGTGAAGCGCCCAGGGTCCCGGGCCGCAGCGGCTACGGGACATCGCCACGACGGCGCCCCATCTCGGCCAAGGAGAGGTGGGAACGCTATCGCCAGCCGAAGATTCGCCCTGAGGCGGACTTTTTCGACGAGGAGCTCCCGCTGGGCCTCGACGGGGCGGCCGCCAACAGTTAGGCGGATGCTGAGGCATTGGAACGGCGTGTGGCAGACGGCAGCTACCACCTGCCGCCTAATTCCACCGTCGTGGGCATCTTTCTGCGCGGCCTCCCGCCGGGCGTCCAGGGCGGCAAGCTCCCGCGGGACACGGCACGCGCTACATCGGCTGGTGCTTCGCCAAGTGCCCCGGCCCCTGGTACAGACCGGGCGCCCGTTGTCCCTATCAGCTACCCGCCCGTCACCGGGCAGCCGCACACTCACCACCAGTGCTCGCAGTGCTCGCCAGATCGACCGGGCGACCGCGATCGCTGAGGGCATCTTGGTGGGGCCCTTTGGGCGTGGCTTTATCGACCTCGCCCTCTTCTACATCCTCGCCGTGGCGGCCGTCTCACTTAGCTGTCCGCCCTTTTTGCACTCCTCACCGCCTTCGCGGGCGCGCCAAAAAGGAGGGGAGTCTTTCTGAGTGCCTTGCTTCCCCCCCCCTCCCTAAGCTCAGATTCGACTGTTCAAGTCGCAGGGCTCGGCTCGGGCTGGCCAGACCGAACATTTGCCGGCCATTAGGGCGGCGGGGGTGAAGTGTATCCCCGACCTCTTCTCGCGCCTCGACGCCTTGGCTGAGGCGGGCATAGCGCCGACCGCCATTGAGGCGCTACTGGCCGCCCCACCGCCACCGGCGGTGGTGACCGAGCTGGCGGTGATTCAGGCGGCCCACTCGCCTGGCCGGCCCGACGTCCCTCGACGGCGCGCGCATGTGCGCGCCAGCCTGCAAGCGGCCTTGGACGCTCTGCGGCCGGAGAACCGCAAGCGATCGGTTGAGGAGCTCCGCGACGGCTATTTGGCGGAGACCTCCAAAGGGCCCTACGCGTCCAGGCTGAAGACATGGATGGCCCTGTCTTACCAGGGCAAGGTCGATCCCTGGCCTGTTTCCGCCGAGACCATGGAGGCTCTGGGGGCGGCCTTCAAGAAGGGCGGCTATCGGAGCGCCAACAAGTACTTCCTGGCCGCCTTCCGTCACCAGGAGCACGACCTCGGACAGGAGGTCTCGCCGGTCCTGCGCCGCCTGGCCAACAGGGCGGTGAAGTCCATCGTGCGGGGCCTCCTGGGATGCGCCTCAAGGAAGCCTTCCCCCTCGCCGACCTGGGCATACCGTTGCGACCTCGCCTTCGACCCGACCGTCGTCTCTCACGCCACCGGCGTCCTGGTGCTGGCTACCTGGTTCATGCTCCGGGAGATCGAAATCGCCGGGGTGCTAGTCGGAGATGTGGTGCTCAACAAGGAGCTGGTGATACCTGGTGATGGTGGAGCTCCCGCTCCACAAGACCGCCCAAGGGGGTGAGCGGGTGCTCACCCGGCGCTCTGGCCACGCACCCCCTGTGCTCGCCCGCCTTCGGCGCCATTATTCTCGGGCTCGGCGGCGTCAGGGAGTCGGTGTCGTGGACGCAGCCGGCCTCGAGGTCAGCTGGAAGGACCCGGCCAGAGTGGAACGGCCCGTCTTTGGTGGCCATGCCTGCCGCGTGGCGGGGGCGCACGGGGCGTCCCACTGGCGGTGATCCAGTTGTTGGGGTGTTGGTCGTCCCGCGCCATTGAGAGGTACACCCAGGCCGCGCCGCTGACCTTGGCACCATCCGCCCCATCGTGGGCACTAGTGTCTCAGCCTGGCGGGGGCACCGGCCCTGCCCCTATTTACTTGGAAAAGACCAGCGGGTCCACCGCCCCGACCCCACGGAGCAGAAATGCGACCGGGCGAGTTGGCGAGCCCGAGGCTGTGGCTGGCCTTATGGGCCGCCAGTTCTTTAGGATTCCCGCCGCCCCTGGGGCTGCGGGCTCAGTAGAGGGCCAGTGTGGACTCAGGTCCTCCTGGCTCCTGGGAGGCAGTGGGCGGCTCGACTTCCGAGTGAAAAGGGAAAGG